TATAATAAACTTTATTTGATATAGCGCCTTTAAAGGTGGCTTCTCAAAGCATTTTACAGAATGACAACAGGAACAACAACAATGAAAAATAAACAATAAAAAAGCACCATTTCAGTGAGAGAGGTGAGCCTGTTTAGTTGAGCGAAGGAGGTGTGAATTAATTAGTCAAGTCTTGATACAATTCACAACAGAGTCTAACAGATTTTAAATTGTAAGGCATTTTCTTGACGGCCTGGACGCTGCAGTTCATATCTGGAGCAACCTCTCTAATTCGTGCAACTACACCACTGTTTCGGCTTGTCATCGCTCTAGCACCGTCTGTACAAACTCCGATGCGTTTTATCCAGTTAATGCCATTCTCTTCGATAAATTCACTCAGAAGCTGAAATATGTGCGTACCACAGTTTGAGAACCACTGGCCTAGAAGACATGGATTGTTCAAGTCTGTAACAACTCGCTTAATGGTTAATTGTGTTAATTGCACTGGCAATGTGCATATTTGGATTATTGTATGTAAAAATGTGCCATATGGGAGTGGGAATTCAGTTAATAGAGTCATCTTCAGAATTTGAGTTCAGTTTAAAGTTTAGGTTTTAATCAGGGATAGTAGAATAGTTGGGGGGCCTCGTTATCGTAAGGATGTGTTACTTTTACATGTGTAGGCCTTGTCTGTGTGAAATCATGTTTATCCTTCCATTTAGGCCTTCCGAAATACTTAGTTTTGGATTTGGATAACTGTATAATCTGTGAGACACATTACAAACATGGACAAACCAGTATTTTTAAAACATACAATTTTTTATTTGAATAAAAGAAAAATTTGAAAACACATTTTCTATGCAGGTATTTATGACCATTTGGTATAGAATTTGGCATACAGGTTATCCTTTTGAACATTTGTCTCTTACCGGCTACAGCAAACTCACAGAATATTCTGTACATTTATGAAGAAAAACTTTGATATTTACAAAGAATGCACTGATGTATGCATATGCTTTAGGGTCATGTCATAAAGCTCTGCTTCTGAAACACAGTGGCCATCATGACAGATTTCAGATGGCATGCAGATGGTCAGATTATTTTAATCCGGCTTTAGCTTTTTGATTCCTGTTATTGGCCTGGGGTTCATGCAGCTCCTGAAGGAATCATAGCTAAGCCATTAACAGGCTTTCCAGTAGATGTGTACCACTCAGTTTTTAAGTAATGATTAAAGTTCTCCCTTGAGAAATTCATACCTACTGTACATAGGGCTGTGATCACATACTGTACCTATTAACTTTAAAGACCAGGCCCAGAAAGGTGTTCTTCCAACATTATCTGGTATGAAAATGTAGAGTGTGGACACATAACAGATCAGAAAATTACCCACAATATCTCATATTTGTTATTGACCCTCAAAAGCACTTACAAAGTACTTTTTGCTATATGAACATTATGTTGAATACAGGAAACAAAGAGACTATATTCTTATGTTGCTGGAATAAATTCAAGCGTGTTACCATGTCTTTCAAACTTAATATGAAAATTTACAATAACAAGAAATATACAAATAGCTGACAAATGTACTACACAGTGTAAACATTGTCAAAAGCATGAAATCTTTGTTTACAAAAGTACAAATCAACTGTATATTTACATATATAAGAATTTACAAGAGTTTGAGGATGGAAGTAAACAACATCTGCCATTACTTTACACAATACTTTTTACATATTTCCTTTGTGGGCCTTCATAATAGTTTTGCCATTTTGCTGAATGTGGACAATTCTTAATTTCACACAAAGGTCAAATTTCAAGGGTAATAAAATACCATAACTTTATGCACTGTTTAATATAAACTTTGAAATCAAATTTGTGTGAACATTACTTTTGCCTTGCTGACAGACTTTTTTGTGTGTGTATTTCTTCAAAGGTTTTCTGTTTTTTTCATTTGTATCTTGTCTTTCTCACTTAATCATCTAGAGACTGTGCTACCAGACTGCTACTGTGCTGCTGTAGCAAAAATGTGCAGTGTGGATCAGATTTAAGAAGTATCACAAGGCAGCATATTTGGATATTCATTTGCCCTTTTTGTTGAAAGAATAACAAGCAGGTATTCAGGCTTATTGAGATTATACAGTATGTGTATTGGAGGTCTAGCTATGCTCACAACTAACAATAAAATGCTAATTTCACATTGTAAAAGAGGAAGCATTTTCAGCATTGGAAACTTCGCTAGATTTCCTGGAAATAAAGACCTCTGATGTGAACCGAGAGGTGCGTCGGACAGAAATGTATCTTTTGCCCAAACACCACAAGTCCTGCATGATCTTCCTGAAGTGGTTCCTGAACTTCACCCCAATAAAGGCATACAGCAGAGGGTTGAGACAACAGTGGAAATAAGCCAGGCACTGCAACACAGTTGTAATCTTCGACCTCTCTATTTCGGTGTCGCATTGCTGGTCTGTTTTAAATTTCACCACCGTGTGGATGAGGAGCATGATGTTGTAAGGCAGATGGCAGACAATAAAGACCACCACTACGGCCATGACAACTCGCACAGCCTTGTGTCTCTGGAAGTTCTTTGCCTGCAGCAGGGTGACAATGATGCTCGAGTAACAGAAAACCATGATAAGTAATGGAAAGAAGAAGCCAATTGAGATCTGCATGCTTGGCATCAGTGTCTTCATCAGCACTGCCGTATCATTGCTGTCAAACCTGTTTTCACAGACCGGTATGTCATCACCATCGCCCACATGAATGTCATATTTGTCATAATATATGAAAGTAGGTGTCGATACAGTAATTGCAACCATCCAGACAGCTGCGCAGATGATGTGACTGTAGACCAGTGTTGTCGATCGAAGCCTGAAAGACCTTCTGGCTTGCACAATGGCAATGTAGCGGTCAGTGCTGATACAGGCAAGCAGTAACATCCCACTGTACAAGTTAATGCTGTAGATGCCCCTCAGCAGCTTGCATGCCCACTTGCCCATATGCCACTGATACTGTTCATTGTATATTATTAGAGGAAGTGCAATGACAAATAAAATGTCTGCTATTGCCACATTGAGCAGATAAACATCAGTCATGGACTTTGGTTTCTTGTAAAAGGCATAAGTAACAATAACCAATGTGTTGCCCAACAGGCCTAATACACATATTATCGAATTCACATAAACTATGATATCTGAGTGCAAGTCACGAGCTTCTTTGTGGTCACAAGGAAAAACGATATCACTGTAGTCAAAAGATGTTGTGGTATATGGCTCAGATGTCATTTTTTCAACGGTGACCCCCTGTGAGAAAACAGAAATCATATAACTTTAGTCATGAACCCTTGCAAAGTTTTTTGTTTCTTTTACTTGACACATGTAACATATAAAGTATAAAAGAAAAATAATGGAAAATTATTTAACCTTGAGAAGAAAATTCCACAAAAAATCCATTTTCATCTAGCAGTATCAATGGCATGTCACTTCAATGTTTAATCCTCTGTTTCTGGTATTGGAGATTTTTTATTTTTTTACATTATACATTTTATGTAATTAATGATCTTTAAAATAGCATTCTATATATGAAAAAAATACAATTCTTGAAATCTATCTGTATTGGATGATTAAAAAAAGGTTTAAAGTATTATACAGTAAGATTCATACAATTTTCATTAAGACACTAGGAGGTCTTTAACAATGTTTCACTTCAATTTATTTTTATATAGTGCCTTTCACAACAAGGTTGCCCCAAGGCACTTAACGAAGCTGTGTGACAGTACATAACATTACAATACAGAAAGAAAAAAAGCCAGAAGACAACGGAGGAGAGGAACCAAAAACTCCTCTGTAAGGAGAAAAAAACCTCTAGGGGTCCAAGGTCAACTGGCTGCCCAACCCAACTGGGCATGCTAACATTATACAATTTTAAAAAAGTACTAAATGTGGAGTATTAAGTCTTCTGTCATGTCCTTCTGTGTGCCAGTAATCCATGCACTTCTCTATGACTCAATGATGAATGCTAGTCGCACATCATGTCATGTTAATCTGCAATTGTGTAATTTCCCTATAATTTCCAATGATGGCTGTGAACTCTGGGTTCAAAACAACATATATAGTAGGTCCATTAATGTTTTTAGTACCTGGTCTACAGGAGTTGCACAAATTTAGCATTACAATTGAATTATATTATAGGTTTACGGTAGGAACAGTCATTCATCATCAAATTCCAATAAAACTATGACATTGCTTTCATGCAACATGTCCCACATTATTAATCCTGACTGACCAGGAATGCATGAGTGTCATGGTAGCTAGATCACATGACCGCAACCTTATAGACTTCCATTTAAGGGCATCCACAAGATATTAAGTGTATCAACACCAAATCATTTCTTTGCCCATGCTCAAGATGCATTTCGAGTTACCAAATATCAAAGTTTTCCCTCAGATGCTCACACTCCAATGGACCATCTGTGTGCACGGTGGATGGATGTGGAGGTTTGCCTGTTATGCTTTCTAGCATGAAGGAGCAGCAATGTCCTGTTGCTGTGTCCGTAACATTGTTTTTTTACGTGACAGGGTTGTCAGCCTTGTGCCCAACCTCCAACATGGCGCCCGACGTGGGACACAAACCCACTCCCCTGAGATTATGTGTCTCATGCTCGACCAACAGAGCCATTTGGAGCCTTTTGTGTGCATGGTGCATTTCAAGCAAACTGGATATACACTTAGAGATAATATTCTTAGAAGTGTTTGCTGGATTCTTATGACCAAGTTCTACATATTGTAGGATTCACCAAGACTACAGGGTTTGCAACATTCTAAAGAAATCAACTTACAGTGAGGATTTAGAATAGCATAAGGGGTCACACTTGATCCTAGGTACTTAACTGCGCTAAATCACATTGGGAGATTGGGGTGGACTACCTGCACTAAATCTTTTCCCAAGGTACTCTAGTATTACAAGAAAAACTGGATTCTACAAACAGTCCCAAAGAACAAGTAAAATTCTCAAGTGGATTCAACACCATAGCACATCTGTTAGAAATTCAAGCGCCTCCAAAACAATATCAGATGTCACTTCATTATATGCATACTCTACCTAGACACTCTAGACTGTATATAATGTGTTTACTCCCACTTAACAAACAAAACCATTGAAGACAGATGAACCATGACCAAATCACCACTATTTAGTGGGCTAGCTCCACCAGACTCTGTAACAGCTTTTTCCTACAGGCTGTCAGGCTCCTCAACACCCTGGAATCTACTTGCACCCACTTCAATTCCAGAAACAGGGATTACATTCCCCAGTGTTTAGTGTATATTGTATGATGTATTCTTTGTACTATTCTGTGATAGTCAAATTGCACTATGTGTACTGTATATCCTGTGTACACTGTCTTAGTAAATTGCACTATGCGTGTCCCGTCTACACGCGTCTGTGTCAGTGTCCTGTCTGTAATTGCACCGTGGACCAGGAAGAACGATATTTTGTTCCACTGCATACTTGTATATGTCTGGAATAACAAATAAACATGAACTTGAACTTGTGAACTTGAAGAAGGAAACATCCTCATAAATGAAGGGAGATAATCGAAACCGAGAAGAGTGACCAGCAGGAGGATATAATGTTACCACATCACAAGAGGATGACAACAAAGTTAAGCAAAGAGAAAGTGACTTAACAAAGATGCTCTTCCAAAACAAATTCAAGTCCTGTAAATGACATCGAGCCATGTCAACAATTGTGTGTCCATATTCGGGTCAGTTAATGTATTGCCCTGCTAAAGAGATTTCTAAAAGAAAAAGACAAATGTGTAGGATTGTTTTTGGAAAGATTGCATTGCATTTAAGTCTTGCATTGTATGAAGACTTGCATGTGGCCTTAGATTTGTGAGCCCTTTTTCTTGTCACTGTTAGGGAGAGAGCTCAAAATTGGGCCACATGTTTGTTCTCTCTAAATGAACTTCTGAAGATAGTGGTAAAAGTTTGAGTTTGGGATGTGGACATATTCTTAATGTAAAGAGTGAGAAAGACCTGCTCCTACCTGATTTCAATGTGTAAATTGGTATTGCAAAGGTGGTTCTGGGTCTTGAGAGGTCACCGTGACAACGCTGATGATTGAACAAAATCTGGTAAAAAGAAAAATAAATATTTATAGGATTATGTCATGTTTTTAATAGAATATCCAAACCTTAGAGGTGAAGAAAGATATAAGATGTGAAAAAAGGGTTAACTAATTCCTTTCTGCACAAAGACTACTTTTGGTACAAAATATTCCATGCTTAAGCTCTTTTGAGTTATGGCAGGGACAGGAGTTAACTGATAAGAGATTTCAAGTGCGAGCTAGAGACTCCCGAACCATGGGCAGAAGAGACCAGCCGTGCAGAGTGTTCAAGGTCTGGAGAATGTCCGAACACAGATGACCTCCCCCCATCACCATAGTAACAATTTGCGTCGGAAACGGCTGAAGTTTGCTATATATACTGGAACTTTGTATCTATATCTCTGAACAATTCTTTGATCTTATTGTTCCTTGCATGCAATAAACTCAGTTGTTTAAACTTCATCTTGGGGTCTGTTACAACACAGGAAATTCCAATTGGATCCAGCAATTGTGCAGGTGTGTTTCTAATGTCCAATCTAAGGTCCAAACTGGTACTGTACGTACTGATATAAACTGGTTTAAATTCTCACCAGTTAACTCCTACTGATAATATAAGAATTACCAGTATAGTAAACTGCATTTAAAAACAATACTTCAATAAACTAGTCTTAACTGGATTTTCATTTGTTCTGAACTGGAACGTACCCATAAACTCTAGTCAAAGCTTTACTATTGGAATTTCCACTAGATATTATATTTCTTCCATTTAGAACTTCAAATTTTAATTTATTCTGACTCATCACCCCGTGCTGGGGAAAAAAAAACATTGCATTTTCTTCTGTTTTTCCAGAGTTTTGCAACAATTTTGCGCAAATATCTTTAGTGCAAAACATTGTTCACATTGATTTGCCTGAAATGCTACTAGCACAACCATTAAGCAATTATTAACCCATTTTCCAAAAAAGCCTAGATGTCAATGGCTTTTTTCTTACTTTTTATTAAAATGAGAAAAAGAGTAGTTTAACTGTAGGGTTCATGCAATGGTGGTTAAACACTGTGCTGTACTGGATGGAGACGGACGTTATTTTTGACAATTTGTTACTGAACAGCCACGTTTCCAATTCCGTGTTCTTGCTCCCTCTCTTCCTGATCTTCCTTTTTTTTACTCAGTCACGCTCTCCTCGCAACCAATCAGAAACCCCAGAAAGTCAAGTTAACGTGAACCTACAGTATCCGCCAATTGAATCAGAGAACTCCACACAACTCAAAATAGTTCAAACTAGTCAATTGAATAAAACAACAATAACAGGACCTAAGCTTACAGTATTAATGTTTTCATGTTAATGTTTTCTTTCATTTTAATTGTGTGTAATAATTAACAATATGTTTGCAAAGTCATAATTACCGGTGTTAGATATACAGTACAAGTGGAATAGTGTATAGGGGTTTTCATAATTGACAAGTACATGCAATGGCACGAAAGAGAGTAGAATGACCCAGATACTGTACTGTAGCTGCTCAACCTGAGATAAATATGAACAAATAACCAGATATTTTGCAGAATTTAGACACTTCATCTGGACTGATTGGATGACATCATTTTGTTAACATAACCCAAAACTTTAGATCGGAATCTATTGAGGTCAGGTTGTGTATTGTGTGTATTTGTCACACTGAGTTAATTGAGAATTTGTTTTGCATACTCCTTTAAAAGTGATGCTTTACACATGAAGTTCCTAAGACTTTCTTTTATATAACCAACCTGTCATTTCTTGGAACTCTTTGTTTTGTATGGCTTTGCAGTGGCATTTCACAAACAATTGTCTTAACTGTTACTATTTTATTTATTTTTCTTTCCTTAACTTAACACACTGCTTGTTTCTTAAAATGAAACTTATTTTCTATATCATGCTCTTTCTTTGTTCCTCTTCCAGGCAAAATGTTTGGAGGCACGTAAGCAGACAACAGCAGACAGTTATGAGGTTCCTTTTAGGCCATTATTCAAACTTTACCTCTCACATACACACAAAATGCCCTCACATTCACTAGTTTTACCACGCACATACACATAAAACACTCCTTCACAATGTGAACATGAGAGACAAAACTAGTGAATGTGAGTGCATTTTATGTGTATGTGAGAGGTAAAACTAATTAATGTAAGAGCGTTTTGTGTGTGCATGTGAGAGATAAAATGGAGAGTGTGAGATCATTTTAGAGAGAGGTGAGTTATGGCCCAATATAGGCGGTCCATCTAAATGGCACAATGTGATTGGCTGAGAAAATGTATCAACAGGCTTTCTCATTTTCTGCTGTGCTCCAAGCTCCATTCTTAGTGAACATTCTAGAAAGAATGACTGGCTCCAGAAGTATTAATAAACTGTTTTTTAAATATTATTAATAGCCTGAACTTTTGTCACACTACACTAAACCTGAGAATGAAACTTTGAGTTTGAGTCCTGGGCTGTGGTTGCTACCTGGATACCATCAGGACATACTGTACAGTATATTAATCCTACACAGCTGATGAAAAAGCTGATCACTTTAAGAGAGTTTTTGATACATTCTTAAAGTGGTATTCATTATAAACTGCAGACATACTGTAGGTGTTTTCTTATACTTTTGTTGTTATTACTTTTTATTTATTTGCCTGATGCTTTAAACCAAAATGACTTTGGTTTAAAGTTTAAAGCATTCGTAGAGCAGAGTATTTTATTGTAGCAATGTGAATGAAGTACTTTGCTGAAGGGTATAAGAGCAGCGTCCCACCAAGGATTTAGGTTCACAATCTTCCAGTTATGAGTCTAGATACCCAAACCAGATCTGTTGCCTGGGTGATTGCTTTTCTCACATTTCAAATCCAAAATTGGACTGACATTCTAGGTCAGCAGAGTGATGTATACATACAGTCTGCATATAGAAACAGTTTGCATACTATTGCATACAGGAAATAAATTGAGGATCCTCTAACTCAGGAGTTGTTAACCTTTTTTTGGCCAGGGACCCCCTTTTTAAGAAACATTTCACAATGTTAACCAGTAAATATACACAAACTTAAAAACAGAATGTATAAGTATTAGTAATACTGCTATTACTATAAAATATTAAAAGCAAAATACACAGCAGACCCCCTATGTGAGAGTGAAGACTTTAGCTTTTACTATATTGTTTCTTGACTGTATTTACTCTCAAAGCAATATTATTATATTTTATTATTATTGCTGCTGTTATTTTGAAGATAAGGGACGCAACTACTGTATTTCACTATACAAAGTAAGTTACATTCACTTAAAAGCTATTGTGTTTCCATTTCTTTATGGCAAAGCAAAGGAAACTTGCAAAGAAATAGGTTATGCAATGCTCTGATACATACTGAGACATATACTGTAGCGCTCAGCCCCTCGTGTCACAAGATGGGTTTGACTAAGACATGAAAATATGACCCACTTTCTTTTTAAAAAACAGAAAAACAAGCTTCAAAGTCAGAGAATTGTCATTTGCCTAACATGGTAAGTGACAGCCTGATGTTATCTCATTGGAGGGACCACAGGGTCCTTCCTGCAGTGTTGAAGTGTTTCAGTTCCAGACTGTGTTGTCCCAACAGGGCAGATGTCTTCTGAGAGACACCTTATGAAACTAAACATTCTGCAGCTTACAGAAACATGGCAGAAAGGCACTTGACATTCTTCTTAACAAGTTTCTCATTTATCCAGGTTTGCCTGGGCTCATCTCTGGGCTCATCACCAGAATGCCAAGGACATTTTGTTTTCCCCATTGCAATTTCTTTAACTTAAGCTGGGGAAAATACAATTTCTGAAACTGAAATTCATAAGTAATATGTCTGAGATCAATCACATTTTATTCAAATATTTAATCATTTCTGAATTGGTTTTCATGTTTTATCTTTTTAAAACCAGTGGCCTTTTGTTATGTTATTTTTGTAATTAATTTAACTTCACATATGCTATGGGTGTTGACCAGAGGTGCTACTGTATAACCACCACTATAAATGAATGTATTTTCTGAACAGTAACAGTATGATTGCTAATGTTTAGCTATTTGCTTCAAAACTCATTTTATCCTTGGATCATCTTACAAATTCGGTTTCAAAATGTAACACGGAAGAGAGGACATAAGAGTTCTGACCCCCCCCAAAAGCATGAAAATTTTCAAGGCACTGAATATCCCCCAAAGCTCATTAAAGCCCATTATAAAGAAGAGGAGAAAATATGGCATGTGCATGCTCTAGTCCAATATAGAAAAAATATATTTATTTCATCTGATGCAGTGCCTTGTGGAAGAGTCGTCACTGGACACGTCACCTGGTGTGTCTCTTGCCAGCATCATGAAAAGTCTATAATTAATAATAATTGCTTACACTTATATAGTGCTTTTCTGGACACTCCACTCAAAGCGCTTTACAGGTAATGGGGACTCCTCTCCACCACCACCAATGTGCAGCCCCACCTAGATGATGCGACGACAGCCATAGTGCACCAGTACACTCACCACACATCAGTTATCAGTGGGGATGAGAGCAGAGTAATGAAGCCAGTTCATAGATGGGGATTATTAGGAGGCCATGATTGGCAAGGGCCAATGGGAAATTTGGCCAGGACGCCGGGGTTACACCCCTACTCTTTTCGAGAAACGCCCTGGGATTTTTAATGACCACAGAGAGTCAGGACCTCGGTTTTACGTCTCATCCTAAGGACGGTGCCTGTTTACAGTATAGTGTCCCCGTCACTATACTGGGGTATTAGGACCCACATGGACCGCAGGGTGAGAGCCCCCTGCTGGCCCCACTAACACCTCTTCCAGCAGCAACCTTAGTTTTTCCCAGGAGGTCTCCCATCCAGGTACTGACCAGGCTCACACCTGCTGAGCTTCAGTATAGGCACCAAGAGTCACTATTGCACAGCAAACGGAGAACCTCATGACAACAAACACCCACCCAGCCAAGGTGGTGGACGGGCAGTAGTGTGTCACTAGTTGGTTAATTCATATCATATTCATCTAATAATA